CATGCTTCACCCATCGGCTCTCTAGTTATTATAACAACGGTCCAAAGTAATTGATCAGATCTCGGAACGCAGCACTCACTGTTTTCCTGTGCGATGAGAACACATTCACTGTACATCATTTTTGTCTTACTTCCAAATAAAGCGGTTTCGGTGTTTGTTTACAACCTTTCTGATTGTCTGACCAACCGTGTTTGTTGCCCTATTAAAACACCTGTTGTACCATTGTCACCACATTTTGAGATCTCAGAATATCAGTTACTTAAGTGAGTACAATGTTACTGTAAAAAGGTTCCCTTTTGTTGTTCTGCATGAGATGTTGGGCTGCCTAATTATGTCCTTCTGGCGAGGGGCTGAGCAATGTTACCTATAGTAGCTAAGAAAGATCTGCATTAAATTACATTCAATAATATTTGGTGTGCTCATTGGTATGAGTGGGTGCACATAGGTAGATTGAGATGCAAGCAGTAACTTAGAGATCTTGTGTTATAGGTATGACCATTATTCTGCTTGAAATTCTCTTTTTTTGTTCATAAATGCTACTCTTTTTGCATTACTCTGGCTCATTGACCTGGTTCTTCAACATACCTTTTTGAAGTTTCCCAGTGCCAAAGCACCTCATCTGCTCCTTATATGTGGTGGTGGCACTACAGCTGATACAAACAATGGAATTTATCAAACCAAACCTGTATTAAACTAGCTGTCCTGTACACGTTCGAGGTATTCAAGTTGAGCACTTGCATGCAATGTCATGACTATTTTCAAATTTACAGGCAAACATACTTAGTTTATCAAATACAACGCTTTGCTATTCTGTAGATTAAACCATCCAACACAATTTAAGTTGTTAAATGTGCTGCTTACACTATTTTGCATCAATAATCCAATAATGTTTGATATATTGACAGACTGACAGAGGGCACTCTGCAAAATGCATTTTTTTTTTTACTTTGGATGCACTAAGTACATACTGCCGGAAATACTTCCTTACTTTTAGTTGAGTGCGTTTTTTTTAATAGAAGGCTTCATTTGTAATGAGTATAGAGAATATCTGTAAATCGTAGAATAGCAGCTGTTTCTGAGACAAAGGATCTGTATCTTTCACGAAATGGAACACATAACGGAACTCGGATCGGAATACGGAACATACACGGAAAGGAACACATCTATGTGGATAGGTGTATTTCCTGTCCAGGAAAAAGGATCTTTAGAAAAAAGTAAATTAATAAATAAAATCAATAATTTCCCAGACAGCTATAATTACACTATACTTTGGTGGTTGTCTTTTTATTTTTTTGGTTTCCTCACCCTGTCAATAATTAGAAGGCTATAATTTTAACGTGCCTTCCACTGGCCTCTAATAGAGCTTTCCTGCTGAGTTAATGAGCAATGTCAATGCTGTAATTGTGGTACCTAAAACAGAAACACTCTAAGATGTTTTAAGTACAGAGAAAGGCAGAGAACAATGTTCAACTCTGGTAGGCACATTGCGTACAGTTAAACTATTAATTTTAATTAAGGTATTTGTTGAAGTTTATGCTGTTTGGTCATGTTTAGTATCTGCACACTGTTGATGGCCATCTCATAGACACAGCCATGATAGTAAGTGGGTGAAATTATGCTTCTATATTTTGGCCATGTGCTTTGGCATACTGCCGCTCCATCTCTGTGGGGCTGGAAGGCTATCAGACAGTCATTCCAAGGGAGGTGTTACCTGCTGAGAACAGACCAGGTGCAAACTCCACAGTAAGACCACACAATGTAAGGTTTATTAAGCACTGCACAGTCGCCCTCCACCCTCCTCCCTTCACTCTGGGTATGACTGAAATGTGTAAATAAATAAAAGCTGACCGCATTGGCTTTATTAGTTTGCCAATATTTAGCAAGGTTTTGCAAAAGCTTTGGCAAGATTTAATTGAGGAAAAATTCATAAATGAGACATGTGGTGGGTAGAGATAGAAAAACAGCCACCCAATTTAACATGGAAAAACCTCACATCGTAATCAATATGAACCAGCTCTTTTTTTAGAAATACAGTAGATGGACATTATCTCAACCCCCCCCCCCCAAGAGATGTTATTTTGATTTGACTTTGAAGGTTATTAGAAAGTATGTGTGTCTGTTTATCTATATTACTCACAATGTAGAGACAAAAGTCTTTCCAGAGTCACAATATGGAGACACTGGAAAGAAAAAGGTAAACCATGAAAATGTCTATATGTGTGTGAAGAACTAAAGCTTTAGACATCCAATGCAATGCCCAACCAAACACTGAGTGTGTGACATTGTGTGCCAATATTTGTTTTTGTTTTTTCACCACGTTGGTTATTTATTGCAAAAACAAAAGTCAATGTCATGGCAGACAATAGACTGAGAATGTGTTATCTATGTACTCAGGCACAGAGTCCTCACGCTCACACATTCACATACACACACACACACACACACACACACACACAAACACATACAGCCAGAGAGAGAGATCACAAGCTTCCTCCCTACTTATGGACATTTTCCATAGTCTTGCCAAGATTCCAGCAAACAAACCTTTTTACTGACATGAAACAACACAAATGCCTTTTTCAGACATTGTGGACATCCTTTTTTATTCATCAGCACACAAAAACCTGAATATTGCACTGGCTGAAATGCGTGGTGTTTTACCGAGGGGCTCAGAAAAGCAGTCATTATATTCTCTCTTAGTGCAAAGATGCAGAACGACATAGATAGAGAGAGAAAAGATGAGAGCTAGAGCCCTTTTGGGAATGTTAAACAATACAGTAAATCAAGCATTAAGAACGGCATAGCAGGTCAAAATATGTCTTCGCTTGCCTCAGTGCCAGTTTCAAAGAGATGTGAAGATCCACCCACTGACATTGCAGGTTTGCAATACAACTTTTTATATACTCACAATATTGTGATTGACAAAGCGCTCCATGGTTCCACCATCTGTTCGCCCTCTGACTAATATAAATGAGCTATGAAACGCATGCTAAAAGAGGTCATGATATGAAAAGCCTTGAGGGTAGTGATCATGCCCTGCCTGTGCCGCACAACCAAACTTGTGCATTACTTTTATTGTCTTGCTTTTCATGACCTATGGCTAAAATCTGTGCATGCACGAAAAGCAAACACTGGGAGTTTGATTGAGGAAAATTTCCAACAGCCATACCAAATGTCATGAGGGCTATCCATGGTACTGGATTCACCCTGAGCAGACAGAGGCACATCCTCAGGAACACACCAGAGTTCTAACTGTTACAGCCAACAGGTAGCCACGTAGCACAGACAGTCACCAGACTAACATTCATCCTGAATGCACACTATTTAATGTTGTGCTTTATTGCTTAGTCTTGAAAAGCCCTGCTTGTAAAACCAAATAATCTGTGAAAGAGCATCTACTGTATATTTGAAAGTACAAAATGACACAATATCAAAGAAAGCTGACTGGAAAACCACAACAACGTACCAGAGACCAACTGCGTTACCAAGAGAGTTAACAATTGTCAGTGTATCCTTAGTTTAAATCAGTGTATATAACTATGCATTAAGATATTAGAAAAAAAGTATTATCAATAATGTCTAATCCCTAACAATGCACTGTTGCAGATTTTGTTGATATCTCTCTTTCAAAGCGACAGAAAACCAAGGTAATAAGGTGCAAGATACTGTAAATATGTTGTCATTGATTTTAATTGGATTTTTTGATATGTGTGGAGGTTTATAAGGTGAATTCAAAGCCAGTAATGCAGCAGACAAACTAATCTTTGTCTCTCAACAATTTCATATCAACCCTCTGTAGATATATTACCAATGTGTGCAATGGGGCTGCAAATAAAATATTCAATACCCAATCAAACTGCGTTTTATTTGGCACTGAAAATCTTCACATTTTACAGCGCCCCCATCAGGTACAATGGGATGCATGTGAACAAATCAATATAATCCCAAGATGAGCAGAATCCTTTAATGGACAGCCATCGATTTTCTACTTGATACTTCCTGGTAAGATCAGTTCCGCTCCCCTCCTTACTCGGCCAGTAGAGCTGCTGTAGGACTTCTACACAGGGCTCACTGCTCCAGCATCCGACTCTGATCTCATCATATCCATGGCGATTCGTGTCCGAGTTTACACAGTGGCGCACATCCTGCTTACCAGTGCTTGGAGCCACAAGCCTGCATGGCTGCGAGAGGTGTGCTGAGTGTAGGCTTCAGTGCATACTGCTCTGCTCTGCTCCATGCATCCCACTCCCATCCCTGAGGCACTGCATTGGCACCGCGCCTCTCAGAGTATTAAGCCACGCTCTTCATTTTCTCGTCAGAGGCCTGAATGCTTGGAGATCGATGCGTGAGCAACTGTTGGTGCAGGGATGCATTAACGGAACCCCTCGTTTGTGTAGAGGGGAAGCATTAGTGAGAGAGGAGAGTACATTCAGCACAATGGACAGAGTCAGAGAGAGGGAGTGACTGAATTCACACATTCCAGCACCATGGACAGAGTCACCAACAGATAGTGAGGTTCTTTCTTTCTTTCTTTTGGAAGGAGTGAACAAACGGTGAATCTGTTCTGTTCCCTCAGCTTTCCCGTGGGACCCGCCTGACAATGCTCATAAAAACTGCAATATACAAGAACAGTTTTATCTTACTTGTATCTGCCTCACGTACAAGTTCACACCCACGCACGGATGGTAATGTCACTATATCAGTGAGCAATAAATACAAATGAAATGCAGATATAATAAGACGTATAGCCTAATAAGACAATAGGATTTGTATCGGTGTCATTACTGTCTCACATATGCATTCCACTTGATTCAGTTGAATGCTCTAGTATCTGCTTCACGCTCAGGAAGTTACATGCATTTACACTAAAAGCTGTCCAGTCCAGACGTCAGCTGGGAGACCCCGAGCAGCTCTGCTGGAGCAGCGGGGTTAAGTGCCTTGCTCAGGGACAGCTGAATGAGTTGGCTGACGGGTGTCTAAAGAGCGAACGGAGAAAGACAACTCCACCCACATTTTCCACCTCGCCCCCACTGGATTTGAACCTACAACTCACGGTCACCGTTTCTAAAACAGTCATACAGGGGTGGATAGAAACCAGGGAGACCCCCGTGTACCACTGAATAATTTGTAGCCATGGTTCTCCTTTAAATTTCCTCCGTGCCCGGGTACTACATCTGCCACTACCACCACCAGCAGCAGCGCTGCTTCTTGATGTTGTGGTCGGGAATACGCATGCGCCCGGCATTGGAATTACTGCACTGGGAAGAATAAGTTGGACCTCGTCTGTCTTCACTAAAAGAAAAATACATATAACATAAGCATGGCAGTGTTCCGAATAAGAAGAATGAGGTGTTTTTGCGTCTGGTTCGTCTCTCTCGTAGTGACCGTGATGTGCGCCCAAAGGTAAGTGAGAGAGGTTCGGAGGATGCTCCACTCATTTTTTTGAAGTGTGACTGTGTTACAGACGGCATGGAAAATACTTGGACACTTTATGGTCCAAGAATGTCTCGTGTTTAAATTTCCTGTGCACCTTTTCTCTCTTTTCTCTTCCATAGTGCCGGTGTCAATGACCCTAGCAATATGTCTTTGGTTAAAGAAACGGTGGATAGACTGTTGAAAGGTTATGATATACGATTGAGGCCAGATTTCGGAGGTAAATTAAATCGTATTATCATCAACTCTGATCGAGTTTTCGCCTTGTCAGCCCGTATAATAGTACAGTGTTTAATCCTCGATAACTCAAATCATAATTGCAATTTCGGAAAGTAAACGAGACATGTCTTATCAGATTCTGCCACAGTCTATGACATTTTTAACGATACAGTCGAGGCAAAATGTGCCAAAACAAACCAGAGTAGCGACATGATGAGAGCACACACGAGTGATGTGGTTGAGACGATAACATACACCATCGTATTTATTTCAATGAAAAATCACTACAGGAAAAAAAAAAAAAGGTGGCTGTCAACTCCCAGTGCTCGCTTATTGGAATTTAAAACAAAACGGTGCCCATTCCTGTTTATTTTCATGTTCCAACTCAGGTGTTCACTGCGATGGAAACATGCTTGGGGCTAGACGATTTAATGTCAACAACTTTTAGGGGAATTACCAACACTTTCACTGCAGCTCACTGCGTCTAATCTCACCCGAAATGAACACTGTAAACTATTATCCGGCTGACAACAGCTACATTCACAAGTGTTAATTAATGTGTGTTTTCATCACACATTATCAGCCGTCTATCATAAAATGTGTCAGTCAATCATACAGGCTGGCGCTGATGTACAGTGTCTATATTGCTTACTGTTGTTTTGACCTGTTCTAGGTCCTCCGGTGGAAGTGGGAATGAACATAGACATAGCCAGCATAGACATGGTGTCAGAAGTCAACATGGTAAGTAGGCCATCATCACCTCTACTTTGACAATGGGAGACCATTCTGGACTAATGATCCCTGCTAAGCATAAACCTCCCTGGGGAATTCCCTCCCAAACCACGGGGAAACCCCCTCTAAATGCAGGCCTGTGTAACTGTGTCGTTTCCCCCCCAACACTCTCATCAACTTGTGGGTATGAGAACTCAACTGTATTTTTGTTTGTGGTTTGAAGGCATGAATTGAACCTGTCTAGGGTATTGAAATTGATTGACATAGATGATCGCTTTGTTTTCTGTCCCATAAACTGATTGCTGCTTAATTTACTGAGCAGGCAAAAACCCAATAATCACTAACTTCACAAAATAAATGATATTGGCAAATAAAAGTTCAATCCAATCAGCACTTTCTTTTTGGGAAAGTTAAAGTATTAGCCCAAGTCTTAACTGGTGATTTTTCCCACTGACATTTATGTTGCTCCATGAGAAATGTTTTAGATTGTCTGTTATGGCTGGTTTAAAACGCTGAACTAGAAATATTGACAGTGGAAGAACTTGAGAGCTGTGGATATGAGAAGTGGAGATTAACTTTTGCTTCATACAAGTGCACCTCCTAGTGATGGGATGCTGGAACTGCACTTCAGTTTACAGAGAAACTCAAGGCTGCCTTTTTTTGTTATGGAAGGTCAACCTCGACACGTATGATACAGTTGACATAATGAGAAAAAAATTGATATATATAAAAATATGCATCACATTTCCATATGTTCACTGTCATCTTATTTTTTTCTTATGTAAAACTGTCTCTTTCTGTGGTTGACAGAACTCTACTGATTTGATTTACGACTTCTTTACATCTCGCACAGATGCCTCCTGCTGTTGCAGTTCTGAGTCATGTTGTAATCTCAGGGAATGGTTACGCGCTGGAATATTTTTGGCAGCAGCACCCAAAGGCTGTTGCTCATGTTATCTCTGTGCTCCTCTGGACTTTGTTGATGTGTAGAGATGAGATGAGAGAACAGATGATGCCATGTCTATTTGAATGCATTTACCCAGAAGACCTGCACAACCATATGCACATGCACATGCATACACAATGCAGGTCTACAGAGCCCTCCAGAGTGGCCTTGAATCCTTAATTAAAGGCATGTTTTCTGTGTGTAACCGATGCAAGAGCTGGAGAGATGTTGTGTTTGTGTGCGTGTGAATGAGTGCCTGCAAGTACAGTATGCATGTCGTAAATGTGGGATGCACTTCCAGGAATAAAATACTTAAGTATTATGTAAGATGTTATTTGTATTTACATCCTAATCACCTAATGTATAAGAGATGTATAAATTTCATTCAATTTATATTTAGCTTTTCTCAGCAGAAATGAAGGTAGTGATTTAGTTACGTCAAATGGCCACTCAATTGTGTAGGCAACAAGCAACTATAGTATATACGTATATTTGGGGTATTTGTTCTTATAAAATAGCATAGAGCAGATAGAAATCCAAGCAGAGTGAGGAAAGGGGGCACAAGCAAGATTTGTAGCCATGGTGTTGCAAGTATATGATATACAGTAGTACATGTCCAACAACAGGACACTCCGACATTTGTTGTGCTGTGTTTACTATTTCCTCTACTGCGATCATCTCCTCTGGGCTACAACTTTCTGAAAAAAAAAGTTGAGTATATCCCAGGTTCATTACTCCTACCCAGAAGTGCGTCATGGCCGGAGCTTATATCCACACACACCCACACACATGGTCAAAGAAAAATAAATCCCACTCACCATCCAAACACACAGAGCCAACGCCGCACAACTTCTTTGATCATCCCATTCCTTTATCAGCTTTGGCCCACTAAACACCCTCTAATGTGAAAGGGGAGTCATTAGCACCTGACCCATTGGAGCCTCATGAAAAGAAGAGGCCACATGTGTGCGCGTAATGGTTTCGGCATCTTTGATCTGCTCCCCTTCCTATAAATGTAACCACTTTTCAGGATTGCAGCTGGTGTAGAAGCACTTTCCTTTCTTCCATTTCCTCTCCCCCATCTGGCTCTTTGTCTGCCACTTATTTTGGTGTGGGGATGGAACCATCCTGTGTTCTTTCTTCAGAGAGCAGATGAGAAACAGGGTAGAGGATAATGGAGAGATGTTACCGATGGGTATATCCAGCAGTGTCCTATTAGCCATTATGGCAGAGCAGGACACCCATGCTTTGGTGTGTATTAACAATCTATTATTCTATCACCCACCACTGCTTTCTGTTGAAGGCCTCGCATTGAAAGCAGAGACATGAACTAGTGAGAACATAGTGAATAAATTAGATTCTTTTCCAGGAGGGCTATTAAAATAAGGAACTGCAAAGAGATTTGTCTTAAACCATCTGTTTTAGCACGTTGTTACCTATGTCACAGAGCATAAGCCCATTTAGGAACAACACAGGCCTCTAGCTTACTTTAGATGAGTCACCAAACTAAGTATGCAAGCCTTCAAGCGTGAGTCCCCCAGAGGACATGAAGTCCCCTCCACTATTTGTCACGTAAGCAGTTCTTAGGTCCAAATGCACAACCTGGACTCAAGCATGTTAAAAACCGTATCCCCAAACCCCATTCTACCTTTTCTTTTTTTAAAGACAAGCCTCTAGAATAAGGTAGCGCCTGGTGACTGTTTATATATGCTAAGGTTAAGACTTTGCACCAATAGCTGGCTTAACTGAGTCATATACTATGTAAAAAAACTACATTACATGTCACTTGGGCCTGGAGCCAGACGTGAAATGGAAGCTGTGGCTGGTGTTCATTACATACCCATAAAAGGTCACTTGTTCCTGGATGTCAGGGCCAAAGTCCCAAGCCTTCGAGGGAGAAAAGCAATACCATTTGATTGTTTAAGACCGAGGAGTCAAATTTGTCACCGGTGTATTCATGTGACAGAGAGACAGACAGAGATATATAGGAGACAGAGTGCTCTGACATTACTAAGTTACCATGTGGAGAGCCAGAAGCGGTGCTGGTGTTGGAGAGAAGGTCATGTACTGAGTGCTGCTGAGGGTTCATTCTGCATGACTCAGAGGTGGACATACAGATAGGGACACACACACTGAATACCAATGTCATGTTAGACATTCAACCCAAGGCAAGTGGTTTGGCAAGCCTTAATTCATGCATTGGTCAAAGGAAGAAGGGAGAATAGTAGGCATGTAGAAGAATTGGTTGATTTCTTTCTTTGTCGTTCTTCCCAGCAATTCTTTTTTGTGCCCTTTTTTTCAACTACTGCCATTTAAGTCTCAATATTTGCTTTTGGTTGAGCTCCTGGGCACTTGAATCCTAAGCCAACAGTTTTCACAGGGGAAGAAATACTCCTGTCTGAGGATGAACTAAAGTTCTTATCCTCCTCCAACAGGCAGAAATACCATTATCGATGCACACAAAGGTCAAAAGGAGCTTATCGATTGTTGGAGGACTGTGAATTTCAGAGCTCCCCCAATTTTGTACCCAGGTATTTCTACCTCTCAGCAGATGTCTCTGATAGGATGTATGCTATAAATTCACAAGGATCGCACTGAAAACTAGACCTATACTTCATATTATACAAATGGTTACATTGTAATTGATGTAGGCTGAAAGGCAAGAGCTCATTGCTAGGCTCTTTGATAATAAAAGGCAAGGGAGATTGGGAAGTACTTATAAGGTATTGCATAATATCTCATCTGCATATCTGAAAGCGTCAAAATGATATGAAGTCTGCATCTTGTGTCTAGATCTATTTTAAAGCAGCCTTCAATTGTCTATTGCTGATGTGGGCAGACTTGTAAATGGATGAGCAAGAGTCTTCAGCCAAAATAGTAAGTCAACACGATTTACATTTTGTCATGGCACAGATTTAAACAATTAATGACCAGTTCATAATGGCAATAGTGAGGAAAAAGTCACCCTAATCAGCTCATTGTAATGGTAATGATACAAATTAAGCGATGGATGATATATTTCATCTTTGAAGATGATACATTCAATATAATCCAACTTCTTTGAAAGGATACAGAGACACTTTTGTCTCTTTTGTTACTGCACACACACCTTTCTTTGGCCGGGTTTCACCAAATTAACACAAATTATCTCCAAACTCCAGCTCCATGATGGTTGCATAGTAACTAATAAGAGTGTCGAGGCAATGTGCAAAGATTCACAGACTGAAACGCATTCCAACGGTGGGGAGAAATAAATACACTCAAACATTTTGTTCTGTTGTAAAATTAACTGTCAAACTATTCAAACTATCGCCACACTATATTCACAACTGGTAACAAGTTAATGAGCAACGAGGGATTGGTCTTAGTCACTAGATGTAATTCTGGGTGATAAAGCATATATTTGATTAGTACAGTTTAAGATATTATTGTAATCCATAAAGCTGTAGATGGTTGGTTCGGTATTGTGAACCCAAACTAACCAATAGTTTACTTTGTAAATGTGCAACGGTTAATCACACCAATTCAATTTTTGAGTTGGCTGTAAAGGGTAATTACAGCACTCAAAACTGCCACATTAAAATGTTTAGTGACTGAAGTCCTTTGGAGCATTGCTTGCAGTGTCTCCTTTCTTATTCACACTCTATATTAAGCCTGCTACCATATAGGGTATACATGGGCATACTTGTACACGTTTGATGTCTCTAGTGAGAGTGTACACTCACTTTCTGTTTCTCATATACACATTCTCAAATTCTAATCCCTCCGCTGTTCTCCAGTCATGCTTCCTCATAAACTGGTATGTTAACGTAGCCTCCAGGAAAGTAGCTGTTCGAATTACGTAACAGACCGGCTTCAGCAAGGATTGATTTGGTGCTGCAATGGAGGTGGAGAGAACATAATGTATGAAGCAAGCCGGGCTCTAATCATAACAGTATTGATTTATTTTCATTGCTTAGCATAGATGATACATCGGTCTGACTCATTTCCTAGCTCCTGTTCCAAGACAATTTCATTAAAAAACAGCTTGAGTAGGATTAGTGCAGTGCACTAAAGAAGGAGA